TAATTTTTGAAGTTAAAATGAATTTTTTATGAATTTTTGAAGTTCAAAACAAATCAAATATAAAATGAGAAATAAAAAATAAAGTCAAAAATATAGACCAATGGATGAGAGTCAAAACGCGTTAGTAAAATAAATCCAATGGATCAGACGTGATGTGCATATCATGGTCCTTAGTGAATAAAACACTGAATCCTTAATTAAATCAGATTTGAAAAAAATGTGTGGCACGCTATCATTGGTTGAGAGATGACACGTTGGTCGTCTTCAACCTCCACCCACGCGAATGGCAGGTCCCTAAAATGGTAAAATTAGAGCTCGAGACCGGTATCATTTGCTTCGTCTCTTCAAGACGATTCCAATGGTACTCTCGCGAAAAATTTATATAAGGTGTAGCTCAGTCGTTTTGGAAGGAAAGATTTGAAAATGGATTTGAAAATTCATGGCCAAAACGCACTTCCAGTTGAAAATAAATGTTGCGACTAGAATCAGAATGATGAGAGCTTCATAACAGTATCAAATTTTGAGTGAATTGGTGAAGGAATCTACCAATTAAAGTTTAAATTCAGAGCTCTGAAACTTAACTTGGCTAGCATGATTTAGGGAGTCTTAGAGCTTGGTTTTATTTTGTTAGCTTCAGTGAGGTTCGAGGATGAAAAATTGACAAAGAAAATGGATTGAGGAAAGTTACAAGAGCAAATTTGAAGTCACAGAAAAGTGGGTTCAAGAGGAAGTTTGACAGGGTGATTCTGGCTCTCTAAGCTTGAGAAAATGAATGAGGTATGACCCTCTATTTATAGGGAAGCTGATGGAATGCATAAGCGTGTGAAATGATGAAGTTTGGAGGGAAATTGTGTGAAGTTGCAAACATGAGAAGTTTGACTTCTATTTTGCTCAAAACTCAACCAAAGCTTGCGTTTCAATGTGCTAATCACTTCAGAAAGTTCATTAAACATGATTAGAAGTAAACACGCGCAGAAATTTTGTGTTTAGAAGCTAAATCAAGGATTTCAAATTCTGACTTTGGAGAAAACTTCAGTTTCAAGGTACCATATTCAAATCAATGGTATGCACAATTTAGGGAACCTTAAGACTTGATTCTTGATGCATTGGAAAGATGAGATCACAAACTTTATAACGTGTAAAGAATGGGATCAAATGGATGCTTGAGCTGAAAGTTGTGATGAGTCAAAATTGAGAAAAAGAGGTTGACTTTTGTACTTAGAAAAATTCTAAGTTTTTTCTTCAAAAATGACTCATAATGTCTTGCATCCAAACATGGCCTTCCATTTGAAATTTACTCTTGACAAAAAAAGATGGAATGAAGTAGATCTATTGAATGACATTTTGAGACTTGAACCATTTAAAATCTCCAAAAAATGAGAAAGTTATTACTTTGTGAAGTTGGCAAAAATTCAAGAGATGGTTTATAATCTTTTGCATCCTTAGGGCATCTTCCATCTATTTTCAAGCTTAGAACATAAAATAAAAATTAAAGTTCACATCTTTAAGATCATTTTGGAAAAGGAATAGGATAAAGTAGATAAAAAATTGACCAAGTTATGATCTTTTGAAGTCACATGAGAGAATTTGATGGCTTATCTAGAGGACTTGTAACCTTTCTTCATCATTAGGTATCTTCCACACAAAATATTTTTGAAACTTTTAAAGTGATTTGTTGATAACCCTTTGAAGAGAAGCATATTTTTGGAATCACTCAAAAATACCAAAAGATGAGCAAGATATAGCCCTTTGAAGTTCAAAACCCTAGCTCCTAGAGCAACAAAATACCTTGGAAACCCTTTTCAATTTTGACAAACTTCCTTGCACAAATACTTTTGTCATGTAAATATAAGTTGTTGAGGATGATAATAAGAATTCATAGCAACCATAACCACTTCCAAATCTTTAAAATTGAGGGAAATATGCATTTGTGTTCAAGAAATCAAGGACTTATCCAATTAGGTCAAACTTCTTCAATCAACCCTTACATCTTTGAACTATCTTTGACAACTTGAGGCATGATGGATCATAATAGACTTTTTCATGATTTTACTTCAAAGTATCTTCAATGATGAAGCTTGAATCTCAATGAAGCTCTATTGAAGAAGGCATGAAAATGAACTCATGAACTTGTAGATCAAATTGATGGATTGTATTGTGCTTTCACCTATAATATCGCCAATTAGGGCAAACACTTATTGTATTTAAAAGTTAATCAAAACATAGATGATCGCAAAATACAAATCAATGTGCTTGGTGATTCCTTATGGACAAACCTAAAGATATGATGAAGTGGGAGGAGTACTCAAAACCCTAATGTGTGATCTTGTTGTATTGTGATAGTATGAGATAATAGAGGAATCTTAGGGGCAAAAATTGGAGTACAACAGGTGTCATCTAGGCGAGGTTTGATAACGTCCAATTAGGTTTTGTGTAACCAAGAATATTGGGTTGAGAATTGTATGGGGTTTCATCCGAAAAACCTAGGGTTTATCCTCCAAGATCTTTGGTAGATTTTGGGGTTTTGTACAAGACTTTCAAAAGAGGATTGCGGCCAATTAAAAGCTTTGGAGTTAGGGTAACCCAAAGGAGTAGCGAGAGGATGGCGGATCAAATTGAAAGTTTTTGTGTTTAATAGTTACAATTGATCGTGTGCGATTAGCTTTGGAGTTAGGGTAACCCAAAGGAGTAGCAAGATTCGAAAAATCAATTGGGAGTTATTGTGTCTTGGTCTTGTTGAAGATAAAAAGAAGAGAAGGGGTTGAATCAACAACAAATTGTTAGGGTTTATAGGGTTGCTCTTTGAACACTTCTCTTGTAATTGACTTTTTGCAAGGTAAGATTGATATCTCAATTTCATTTGAAATTGGGGGCAGATGTAACCATAGCGAGGATGAATGGTGAACTGCCTACACAAATCCTTGTGTCGCTCTCTCTTATCTCTATACTCACTTTTATTTTTTATTATGTAATTTGTTGAATTTCATTGTTTGATCAATCGACTCGTAAGAATTTTTCTGTGATTATTTTTGTTTAAATTGGTTTTTTATTAGCTTATAATCACTTTAATTATAAGTGTTTTTTATATCAACAAAACTCAAAGGAAAATTAAGAAAATTCGTTTGCATACCAAGTGTTCGACAAATTGCATTGTTCTATATTTTTGTTTAATTACATTAGAAATAGGTTGCTAGTTAATTGTATAAACGGGTAATAATGTTGATTATTTTAAGTGTATTAATTTCTCTTATCAACTCATTTATTCCATAATACTTTTTACATATTCGAGTTCCAATAACTAGGTTCTTATAGACGACTTTTACCGATCTACACTAAAACCTTCTGCTTGCACTCTTTTAAAATAAATTTTTTAACTACAAAATTTTTTATTGGTATTTTTGGATTGATGATCTATTCACCCCCTCTCTAGATAAGTCGTCGTCTAACAATACCTCTTTCATCCAACCTCACTCCCATGCTTCCACCGAAGCTAGCTCCACCATCGTATATCCCCTCTCTCTACTGCGAACCACTGTCAAACCGCTTCTCTCTCTGTTGATCCTACCGCCACCAGAGCCACCACCACTAGGAGATGGAAAGCTTGTTAAGGTTGTTCTCAGCATCTCAAACTTAACAATAGTGTGTGAATTCTCTTCCTTGTTTCTGCTCCCACATTTTTTATGTTGGCTACGTTTCGCTCACCCCCGAAGCCACCGTGGATTTACTACAAGTTAAAATTTATGTATCTTTCAGATATATCCATTTCTTATGTTATGTTGTCTATTTTATGTTGTTGTCTTTTGGAATTTAAATTTACACTTTTGGTGTTTGATAAAAAACTTCAAAGCATTTTTGTGTCTTGGAACAACACTATCTCTAATCATCAATTAAGTTTTGAGCATTCCATTAAAATGGACAATCTTGAAATCAAAGGCAGTTGAAATACGCAGACACGAGTATAAAAAATCATCCTTAATTAAATTTTTTTTTAAAAAAAGACTATAGATTTTCATTCTTATATTGCCACTAATGGTGTTTGATTGTGTCTTTTTAACTTGTGTTTAATCTATGTATAATATCTTTTATATTAATGCAATTTTTACGAGTAGAGATTATTTAGACTACGGATGGGGTAATGTCCTATGTCTCATGACAGGTGTAATGCCTTTTAGCTTTTCACTTAATGAAATGGTGTTTTCTATCCAAAGAAAATGAAAAACAATATTGTAAAGTCCTTTGTAATTTCTCATTTTCATGTAGCAATGATTGTTTTTTTTAATATTAATACATGTGAAGAGTCTAAAACAACTTATAAAAAAACAGAGGAAGTAATATTGATGAATTAATAGTTATATTTTTCAATAATATACTATTATGATAGCTCATCATGAGAAAAAAAACATCCACATTGAATCAAGACTTAACTAAAAGTCAAAAAAATGAGAAAGACATTATATATTCATCCGAAACCTTAACTCACTATAAAATATTTCATCTTCATTTTTTCAATCAATGTAAAACTTACACCACTCACACTTCTTTCAAAACACATTATCGGTAAAAATAAAAAAGACTTACTAATGATTACTAATAATTTATTATAAAAATTAGTAATACTCAACAATATTTCCAAAGGGTCGTGTTATAAGGACATTAGTTAAATGGAGTCGATAAAGGAGAGTTTAACAAATGTACCATCTTGCCACCTTTTTTATTACTTAAGCAATAACATAAGAGCACTTGATATATATTCACATTAATTTTTCTTATCTTTATAATTGAATATTCTCACTGAATAACAATTAAAACTAGTTAGCTATTTCATTAACTTTTACTTTTAGCAACAAACTTAACACATTCAAAGGAAATTAAATATCTGCTACTCAGTTCAATACCAATCAAATACATCAAAAGAAATTAAATTTAATGTGAATGCTCCAATTGCATTCGGAGTATTATTCGATTATAAAATATCAAAATTTGCATCCCTCTGTATAAATTCAGAAGTCATGGAAAAGCATAAGAGCATCATCAAGTTTCATCAGTGATGATCCCAAGAGTAATAAAACATTTTGCAGCCGTTTGTATTTCTTCAGCAGTGGCACGGACTCGTTAATCTTGGCCTTCGGAGTATTTATAATCTGGAACAAGCAGCAACAATATTAATTTTTGTAGCATAACAGAGCTCAAATTCAGGAACTGTGGTCAATACATTGAATATAAGCATAGCATATGTTGTATAATAAGGCGATACCGACAAATAACAAAAATGGTAAACATTTTGCTTCTGGGGAGATTAAGAAAAGTCTATTTTCCAAGTTTTTCTGACGGATGTTATTGCAGCAATAATCCATGGAAACAGAAGCTCCAAATTCCAATAATAGTATAGCAGTTGGGATTATATTTACAAATACCAACATTTACTAACCTCTTCTTCCTTTTCTTGCTCAAAAGCCATTCTTAGTTTCAAATTTAATGCACCATGGTACATCTCGTCCAGAACATTTTCCCAAAGCAGAGGCTGATTAACTTTCCACATTAAAATCAATACTGGCTTAGTATTTGCTCCGGTGACAGATAATTTCTGCAAGGAAGATTAAATTAAGGGAAGACTAAATAATAGAGTTTGTAAATATTAAAAAGGATAATTGTTCACCTCCATATGCAAGAAGTTTTCCTTCCATAATTGAAACAGTAACTTTGGAGCTTCCTTTTTTTCTACAAGAGTAGCATCTGCAAGCTACATAGAAAATAGAAGGATTGAAAAGCCAGATAAGTAATATAGTATTAAAATTTTATTTGTTTTAAGTTTAAAAAGAAACTGACAAATTTATAATCACTAACATACAATACCGATATAGTAATCCGTATAATTTATTTTTTTGGCACATGAAGCATCATGGAGGAGTGTTAATGTACATGATGTTAATACACATCAGATTCTAAAAGCTTTTGTAAATGAGGTTATATGTTCTTTAGTAGAAGTAAAAGCAGGAAATAGAAAGAGGAAAGCTATCCCAAATCAAATCAAATCAAATTTTCACATTTATCAAATATATCCTAAATATATTAATCTAATAGTTCGTTCTTCAGAATCTAAGCGGGTTACGGAAGCTAACAATAACCCAGATGTAACAAGTTAACTAAACTAGAATATCAAACTTTATGTTTATTTTCAATAAAGTTCCCTTTGTTTATTGGCAAAATTCATGTTTGACAGTTTCATCAAGACTTTATCACCTTATCTGTCGGGCAAAACTGATTTTCCTTTGATAGATGCCTGAACATTCGGTAGGCATCCCTTCCATACCTTTTTAGCACAATTGACTCAACCTGCAACATAGCACACAAAAGCACAATTCTTCATGAGTAAATCATGAATATGCATGTGTGTGTGTGAGAGAGATTTATAACCATAACGGTAAAAAAAAAAACCTCTTCATTTCGAGCCCATCGAATAATGTGCTTTAAATCTGGTAAAGAAAAGAAAGAAGTTAAGAATAATAACATATCAAAGGAACCAGAAATAACGGTATGTGTATATTTTATGCCACAAAATACTAGTATAGTCTAACATATGGTAAAAAGAGATATTGGTGTACCAACAATATATTCATATAACATCTGATTTGAACAGCCCAACTGAACAAGAGAAGCTCTAACACGATCTATGGTCATTGTTCGGCCATTTTCAGTCTTAATCACCTCTGAGAAAATAGTATCCAGCGGTAAGGGAACTGAAACATAGGACACGATAGTGTAAGCCCCTGAGAGTACAATGAGATACTAATGGTGGAGGTCTTATTTGTTAATAAGAGGATAAAACAGAAAACAACAACAAAAAACAAAAAACAAAAAACAAATCTACTAAGGAAACCAAATTTAAAAGGCTGTATGCCTTACACTAAATAGAAGCCAAATACCCGATTTAAATCTTTGAAATGCAAAATAGGTAAAAGCTTAAAAGCAATCAGAGTATGTCATAGCTCATGCAATCATCAGACCAGAGTTGTTAATAACGCCCGTAGCGGCCGCTATCGCGGCGCTCCAGAGCGGAGCGGAGGCCTGCCGCGCGCGCACAAGGGTGCAGTGGCGGAGAGAAGATCGCGGGCGCTATCGCCGCTATCCCGGGTCGCGGATAGCGGGCGCCTCCCGGGCGGAGCGGTTCGGGCCTGATTTTTTTTTGGACAAAATTACTGTTTTACCCCTCTTTTAAAATACTTTTTAAAACAGATTTGCATTATATTTTCTTTCTCCTTCGTTTCACTTTCTCACTTTCTTCTGCCCTAATTTTTGTGCCCTTCTTCTCCACTGTTCCACTTCCACCGTTCCAGCAAGGCAGCAACAGCAACATACAAGTGCATCTTCTCCACCGTTCCAGGCTTCCAGCAAGGCAGCAACAGCAACATACACCGTTCCAGCAAGTACATCTTCTCCAATCTCCACTGTTCCATCTTCTTCTACTTTTGTCTCAGATCTCCGCCGTTCGCAAGCCCTCTTTTACTTCTCCGTTCCGTTGTTCCAGCAGCCAGCAAGGAATTCTCCGTTCCATTTCTCCGTTCCACTCTCAGCCAGCCTTTGGTAAATATACTTCTTTCGTACTATTTTATTCTCTGTTTTCGGATAAATATGGCAGCTTCTTCGTCGACACCGAATTCTGCGTCGGTTGTTTCATGTGCTCCAACGTTCAAACCAACCAATAGTAAGGACATAGGATGGAAATACAATCATTTGAAGGATTTGAATAACAAGAAGAAGGTGACATGTGATTTTTGTAATTTAACTAGCAGTGGGGATAAGTAGAGCCAAAAGGCATCAATTAGCAATTACCGGTGATGTAGTTTCTTGCACGAAAACACCCGAGGATGTTAAGGTTATATTACGCGCGGACATGGTTGAAAAGGAGAGAATTAAGAAAGGAATACAAGAGGTTTCGGTGCAATTAGATGCGGATGATACCATTGATATTAAGGAAATACGTAGAATTCAAACCGGAAAGAGGATGGTTGCGAGCGAGACCTCTTCAATGGCTGTCAAGAGGACTAAGGGACCGTTGGATTTGGTGTATAAGAAGAGTAAGGACACAAGCATCAATGATGCGTGTGATAAAGAAGCAAGGGCAAGAACCATCCAATATATTGGTCGCTTTTTTTATACGTGTGGAGTTGCTTTTAACGTAGCAAATGCAAGAGCTTTTAAGTTGATGTTGGAAGCCGTTGGAAGTTATGGTCCTCATTTGAAACCGCCAAGTTATCATGAACTCAGGGTTCCAATCCTTCGAAATGAGTTGGAATATACAAAATGTTTGTTGAAAAACCAAGAGGTGCAAAGGAATAAATATGGATGTTCAATTATGTCGGATGGTTGGACAGATAGAAAAGGTAGAACATTGATTAATTTTTTGGCCAATTGTCCGACGGGGACCATGTTTGTGAAAAGTGTTGATGCTTCTAACTATGCCAAGACGGGGGAAAAGCTAGCCGAGTTGTTGGACTCTTTTATTGAGGAAATGGGTGAAAAAAATGTTGTTCAATTGATTACCGACAATGGAAGTAATTATGTAACGGCGGGTAAAGAATTGTGTTTGAGGAGGCCTCACATGTTTTGGACTCCATGTGCTGCCCATTGTATACTATAGACCTTATGTTAGAAAAACATAAGATATAGGCAAAATTCCAAAGGTTCAAAAGGTTATACAAAAAGGGGTTAAGGTTGTGGGCTACATTTATAATCATACTTTTGCTTTGAATCTAATGAGAAAGACTACCGGTAATGTTGAATTGGTTAAACAAGGAGTGACAAAGTTTGCTACCCATTTCCTTTGTCTACAAAGGATGCAAGAACTAAAAGGAAAGCTTAAAGAGATGTTCCTTTGTGAAGAATGGACGAGTTCCAAGTGTGCCAAAGATGCTAAAGGACAAAGGGCAGCTACTACTATACTTACGATATCATTTTGGAATGATGTTCTCTACACTCTTAAGTGCATGGCGCCTCTTGTAGATGTGCTAAGAATGGTTGATAATGAAAGGAAACCCGCAGCGGGATACATATATGCCGCAATGGGGGTAGTGATGGAATCAATTGAGAAAGCTTTTAGTTCAAATTCAAGCAAGTACGAAGCCGTATTTGAAATCATTGATAAAAGATGGGAGTGTCAACTTCATCATTCGCTACATTCTGCAGGTCACTATCTCAATCCTGAATATTATTATTCTAAACCAGAAATTGAGAATAATGGTAGATTGGTGAAAGGCCTCCGTAAGTGCATTGAGACACTTAGTGAAAGTTATGCAGTGGAAGATTTGATTTCAGAACAATTGTCACAATACAGGGGTGCTACAGGTCTCTTTGGTATAAGAGCGGCAATTAGACAAAGGTCGACATTAGCTCCAGGTAAGATGGAATGATTTTTTGATTTTTTACATATGATACACTGTGTTATGTATATGGAAATGGAATGATTTTTTACAATTACTTGCAGCTGAGTGGTGGAAGTCTTATGGAGCCGAAACTCCGGACTTGCAATTGTTGGTTGTTAAAGTGTTGAGTTTGAGTTGCAGTGCTTCCGGATGTGAGCGTAACTGGAGCATCTTTGAGCATGTGAGTATTAATTTTTTACTAGGATATTAAAGTATCTTACATGCAAGTATTATTAAATTAATACTTCAAATTATTGTATTTTAGATTCATTCCAAGAAGAGAAATAAATCGAAACATCAAAGATTGCAAAACTTGGTGTTTATCAAGTATAATCAAGCTCTGGTAGAGAGGTTTGAAATTCGGGATAAAATTGATCCTATGGAATTTAACGAAATTAATTTCCACACCGAGTGGTTGGTGGGAGAGATGGAAAATGTAGGAGATGATGGTGAAGACTTGGTTCATCCAAATCATGATTTAACTTGGAGTTAAGTTGCCGATGCTAGTGGGACTAATGAACCCATAATCTACACTAGGAGGACAACAAGGCAACTTGAAGTTGGAAGTACTTCTCAAGCAACAACGGCACCCATAGCAACAATTTCACCAAGAGCAACAATGACACCTAGAGCACCAATGACACAACAAGTGGTGGAAGATGTTGAAGAAGTTGAAGATGAAGAATTGGAGGAAGATGTTGAAGAAGTTGAAGAATTGGAGGAAGATGTTGAAGAAGTTAAGATGAAGAATTGGAGGAATATTTTGATGATGCTACATGATTTCTATGTTTGCTTGAATTTTCATATGATAGTACTAAGTTTGAATTGGAATCTTTATGTTTTGAATCTTGATTAAGCATTCTTCTTTGTTTGACATTAGATTTTATAAATATTTTATGAGTGTTGTGAAATTAATTTAGTATTACATGACATATATTTTATAGATTATTATAATATAATTATTAGTATATAAAAAGTTATCCCGCTATCCGGGATCCCGCTATTCCCACTTTTCCCATTCCCGGGGGTCGGCCGCTCCGCTCCGCTATCCGGGATTAATAACTCTGCATCAGACCATCATAAATTATATAATTTAAAAAATGTAATTACTATCTACATATGTATCGGCCCATAGACATGAATATTAACATCATAAATTTCCAGAATTCGTGAAGCGGACTCTAGATCACCTGATTTCTCTATTTTCACTTCTTTATCTTTAGTTCTTGTTGCCTTCAATATTGCACTTAAGACAATAGCAGCTCCGTCGTCTATCCGTGCTCTTACATTCTCAATCAGTGCCTGGAAAATGAATATAATGTTTAGAGCACATTCTTCAAATAATGACAACCAGCAGAATGCAAACAGAAAGCAAACAATTCCATCTAACTAATACAAGCACGATATCCATAAGAATACTATAATATTTTACATCTAATATTAAAAGGAAAACCAACAGCACAGAAATTATAACACATACGCTGTTGCCACAGTTAATATTTAAGATAATATAAAGTAGCATCAACCAGGAAAAGTAATAAATGCTAAGCTGCTTTTTGCAAAGCATTACAAAATGAACCTTTTAAAGAATCCCACATTGGTTAAGATATGGTTTGAAGTCAAGATATGTTTATAAGTGGGGGCAACCCTTGCCTTATAAGCCTGTTTTATAATATGTTGAGATAGGCTTAACCATAATTTTAAGATAACCAACAACGTGAATGCACACTAACCAATTGATATCATTCCTTAGCTGAATTTGTAAGAAACATTATGTTTGCAAGTTTCTAAACTTTACAGATAAAAGGCAACATGAATCAGATCATAGCTAGCTGATTTCAAAGATGGGCATTGAAATTAGACCCAGAAGCATTGTGAACTCAAAATTGAGATAGGCTTATGCTAGGGTACAGCAAATGCAATCAGTACCTAATTTAGGTGATTCCTAGGCAGTCAATCCCGAAATGGGGACAGCGGGATAGCTGCTATTTGAAAATTTATTATCTAAATAATTTATACATGATTTATACTATATAATCCAATGCGTTTTTACCGGCAATTTCAAAAATTCCCGGTATTTCTTCGAAAAATCCGGTAAACGTATAAAAAATCCGAAATTTTTTTAAATGGGCACAAAGGTAATAGCAGCCCCCTTGTGGGGGTGCCGGGTATAAGTTGAGGGGTGGCAGGTAGAATTCTCGTCATTTTTAACCTAAAAGTCTAAGGTACTCACAAAGGCCCGACTTCTGTAAGTCTTGTAGATGTTTATTTTCGCAGATTGAGTTTATCTTCTCTCTTATTCTGCTTTAATTTAACCTAGCAAAAGATAAACAGTTAGTGTCACCTCTGCGCGACTCTCACTTTGTACTGTATTCATTCTTCTACTGTGATTCTTCACTTCTTCATCACCCTCCCTCTTTCTCATTCTACTGTGAGAAATCACTACTTCTCTGTCCAGATTTACCCTTTTTTGGGATTTTTAAAAACTTCCACTGCCGCAGGCGCGAAGCACTACAACGGCCACGCCTGTCATGTGTTGTTCTCTGGAAACGTGTTGGCAGCAGCCAGTGATTTGCATTGCACCTGGCATTACCATAGCATCCAGAGGCAGCTCTGCTCTGTTGCAATTGCACCACTATAGGCCTCGATTGACTGCCTAGGGTGATTCTTGCTGTCTATATCCAGATTTTATTGTATTTTTACTTAACCTGACTTGATAAAATAATGCAAGACCAAAGTCTGACTTGTTACATGTCATAGGTTTCTTTTTTGGGTCTAGTTATGGCCTTTTTTTTAAATCTTGTTATGACATGTTTGTCCGTTTAAAGGTCTATTTCATATTAGTTTGTTTAAATAAGCAATCTGACTGACCCTTAAATAGACTAACAAGCTAGTAGGTTACTGAAACTAAGATCTATACTGAGATTTAACAAGACATTTTAGAGAGTATGACTCTATGAGATCCTATTTCAATTACATTTTATAATAATATTTAAATATGTCAAAAATTAATGTAAGCTAATATGCGTAAAGTAATCAAAAGGTTTTAACACCGTACATGATAAAATTGGTAGTTGCACTGTTCATTTCAGTTATAACTAACTTTCATCGATTGAACTTTTGTTAGTTACAAAGAGAGAGCAATTGGTTGAATTTATAGTAGCAACCAGTTGACCTGAAGATTCTTTGCATCACTTGTAACATGGTAGGATGCACTTGAGTCAGGGAATCAGGGTGTAGAAGTGGAGGGTAGAGTGTTTGCAACAAAGGTACATGGAGGACTTGGAAAAGAAGAAGCATGTCTTGGTGGTTGAGGTGGCCTAGTCCAAACATTGTTGCCATAGGAAGTAGGATAACCCTGCTAGGAGGTTTGATTGTAAGGATTGCCAATGAAGGAAGATGACTGGAACTGCTGGTTGAATCTATGCCAGCAACTCAAAGGCACTGTATGTTGGAGAAACGACCTCCTCTACCTCTGCCAACACGACTAGGTTCAGAACCTCTAAAGGCTTGGTAATCATACTCAGGATTTTGTGTGGTGACCTGAGAAGCAGAAGACTCAGAAGTGGCAGTTCGATAATCAACAGGAGCTGATTTTGAGAGACAGTATGAGTTAGATTTAAAGAGACTAGGTCTGGAATTGAAGTCTTCTTGAACTTTGCAAGCCTGAGTTCATGAGCAACTAACAGAATTTCAACTTCATCCAGATCTATGATGCCAAACTTGCTCTTAATAACAGAAACTACTGGAGCATACTCTGAAAACAAACCTTCAAGTATCACATCTATGTGACGTGAACATGGTAAAGGATCACCAAAGGAGGCTAAGGCATTAACAATAGTCCTAATCTTAAGCAAACAATCCTGAATTGACAGATTTTCAAGCGTAATAGAACGAAGTTCCACACGCAATTGACGAGCTCGTGCACGCGTTTGCTTTAGAAAATAGCTAAACAATTGATCCCATAGCTTATGCGCATGCAAACATCCTAGAACACGAGAAAGGATTTCGCTAGAAAGCGTAGACTGAAGCCAAGAAAACAGCATTTGGTCCTTTTGGAGCCACACTGAGTACTCAGGATTCACAGATCCAGAATTGCAAGCCGCGTCATCAAGAAATTGGAGTGGAATTTGTGTGCAAACCACGAATTTTGTAAGATTGTGTGCATTAATGTAAGGTTCAACTTGTTGACACCAAATATGAAAAAATTTCTCATCTAATTTATGCACAATCTTGAGAGAGAAATTGAGACGACGCAAGTCATTACTTGCAAACGCCGCTGTCTGTGCCGGAGTTGTGGAGACTTGTGCGGAAGCAGAGGGCGAAGCCGGTGGTGGAGTTTGCATGGCCTAAAATCGTGTTAGCAATCCGATACCATGATAGAATTGGTAGTTGCACTATTCATTTCACGTTTCAGTTTTATAACTAACTTTCATTGATTGAACTGTTGTAAGTTATAAAGAGAGAGCAACTGGTTGCATTTATAGTAGTAACCAGTTGACCGGCTATATCCGGAGAGATACATCCCGAGCTGACACCTGAGTCTTGGCAGTTATAATAGTTAACTAGCTAACCTAGCATACCTCTAATAGTACAAAATCTAATATATCTAATTTAATAATAACAATAGTAATATAAAAATATTATTTATATTTACTTAAGTAGGTTGGTCTGATAGGCTTAAAAGGCATTTTTGTGGCCTGAAGTCTGGCATTTTTAGCTAAATAGGCTTCTAGATAAGTCTAAGCCTTGTCTCTTTTATAAAAATAAAACCAAAACATCTAGCTTGGCATGGGATTGAAGTAGGCTAGACCATATGCCCCGTCGCTCGGCTTGGTCTATTACCACCCTACTTGAAAACATCAGTGTTGCATTTATAAAGTCTAAGAGTGGAATTAAATTCTATCAGGCTTCTTCACATAAACCATTTTTATTTTCAACTCACAAAATTTAACTATATTGGCAGGCTTCTTCACATAAACCATTTGTATTTTCAATTCACAACATTTAGCTATATTAGCAGCCCTCTCAGCTTGTTGAATTATTATAAGTTTTTTTTTACAAAAAGTGAAAAAAGAAATCACAAGAAAAACTAAATCTGGGTGGGTAGCAATGGCATGTAGTTCAGATAGGAAATTATAGTAAAACGAACCTTATCCCTGAGATGACGCGTGAACTCCTCAAAATTTGCACGCCAAAGAATAAAGTCCTCTTTTGCTGCACCAGATTTTGTATCCACGTTTAAAATATCACTAGCAAAATAATAAGTCCACTCAGTTATCACACAAGAAAACAAGAGTCTTACCATTATTTTCTGCAACGCTTGTATCAGCTGGATTTGTTTCTCCATCACTATTACATCCTATATCTGCATTGAGTGAAAATCTAATCATATCCCCACGCACTGCAGCTTCTATAACACGTTGTTCTGTTGTTGCTGGTGCTTTGAAATTCTATAGGTCACAAATGATGAAATCGAACAGCATCAGCAAACATCATATTCAGATTACAAGAGTGAACACAATATAGTGGCATTGTCAATCAAAATGATAATTACTAGATATTCCTTGCTCAAAAGTTAAAAGAAAAATAAGCAAAAGATTAAAACGTAAACACATTTTATATAGTAAAAATAAATCACAAAAATTAGAGAGAAATGAAGATAATGAATCTCCCAAAACAAAATACCATAAAAGAACACAATAGAGAAAAGAGACAAATTCAATCCAACAAAGCTTTATGATTTCTCAACATAGCTGTTAGTGACTAAAACCCCATTAGAAAGGCCCAGTGCTTTATGCGAATTAGATGCCAAATGTCAGGTTTCATCCCAAATCATTTTGATCTAGGACAATCCAACTGCTTAAAGAAATTGAGACAAGTATACAACTACCTGGGCCCCCTTAGCACCACGCTTCTTAGTAATAATTTCTCCTTCAACTACCCTAGCCTCAGGGAGTGGACAGCGCTCAACATATCGAGCCATCAGAAGTTTAAGAAGGCTCTCTCGTACAGCAGCTGCAGCCACCGCATTTTCTGAAAGTGAAAACACGTGATTTTGAGATAAACAGATGGAGGAGAGGATTCACTATTTTGTGACACATAGTTAAGCTGAAGAAATTCCAATTACAGTACTCTCGGCATATAAATAAGAGTCAAGTAAAACACATGCCTTTTCCTTGACTTTCTCTGTCAACCATCTGTTTCGTGTTAAGTCTACCATCGCGGAGCAAACCTTCAAAAATTTTTGCACACTGCAAAACAAGTGGAAGAAAAATCCTTTCAGCAATTTAAGCCTTAAATCGAAAAGCTTCAAATAGAACCAAGGATCAAACCAACTTTGTCATCAAGTTCCCCCGACACTATCTCCATGAATTTCGGAAATCTTAATCGATGGAGTATGTTGTCAAACAACACCATGTATTGCGTCTTAGCTCTCGACCCATCTTCATCACCACCTGCATTTACATTTATCCAGAAAAACCATCACCACGTCACTTCATCATCCACTAATAGAGCATAGTAGCAAATACATACATAATTTAGTAGCACTGACACCTCTAGAAAAAGGAGTGTCTATGTCGGTTGGTGTCTGAAACCGACACCACACTAGTGATTACTTAATTTATTCATTTTAAAATTAAAAAATAAACGTGTCAGTGTGGATGTCAACCTGTCAGTGTCGTATTTCCGGTGACCGTGCTTCATAGACCATAACATTGATACCATTACCTTGGGCAACAAAAGCCTGGACGCAATTATGTTGAATCAACACAAGCAATGAGTTCTTAACATGCTCCGGGGAAAGTTCCGTGTATCGAATAACCAGGTCCAGAGTGAGAGCGCCATGGTCAAGTAGATTTTCGCAAACTTTCTGAAACACAAAAAATTCAACAATATTAAAAATCAGCGATAAAGGAGAAGAAGAGATAGAGAGAAAGGGTTAGAGAGTGATACAGCGACGATTTTGCCGAAGTGGTTGGTGATGAGGTAGACGGCGAACTTGATTCCCCACTTCGGAGCCATTTCGGTGCGAGAGAAACGGCGTTGAGGAGATTGAACAGAGATAGACGCGGGAAGGGGTTTAGGGCTTTTGAGTTCTGTGGCACGTTTTTAATGGTTATTTTGTTAACCTAGAACTAAGTTCTGTGTTTTTCTTCAGTAGTTAAGCGGTTAGGAATTTGGCAACAGCTTTATTGATCGCGAGTTCGATTCTTGAATATGCAAAAGTAACACGTGCATCCTTTTTTGTGTTAGGCAAAGTTTATGACTTTATGTACTCTTATTAACTTTATTTTATTTATATTGGTGGTATAATTTATAGTATTAAACTATAAATTGTTGTACAATAACTTTATTTTATATTGGTGCTTTTAAAGTATATTAAATTATTTTTTCTGTTTTAAAATGACGGTCATTTAACAAATAAATTTGTTTTAAAATGATAATCATTTTCACTTTTCAATATAGTAATGATTACTATTTTTTCAATTGTACTCTTCATTTTTTACTCTCTACATTACTTTAAATATATTAATAAGATTAATTTTGTAAAAGTGTAATGTCTTATGACAACATTATTGTATTCTTTAATTTGTGTGTAAAAATTTTAAACAACACTAATTTTGAAACGGATGGAGTATAAATTATAAATTATTGTACAGTAATAAGAGATAAGTTATATTTTTATATTATTAATGAAAAGGCTTAAATGTATTTTTGTTCCTCCTGATTTGAAGTTTTTTAATTTTTAGTCGCTTCATTTTAAAAATCAATTTTTTTATCTCACTTTACTTTGCTTTGGATTTTCAAAATTTTTATTTTAAGTTTTAAAAATTAATTTTAATTGATGAAAAACATTTTATTAAATTTTAAACCATACTAAATTAACGTAAATTGATAACTCGTAAGCTAAAGGCAGATTAACTCTAATTCCTCTTTGCAACAATCTCTCTCTGAAACCAAAAACTAAAGAAGAACACGAAGAACCCAGATTATGGGACAATTTAAACGAAGGTCGATTCAAACGTCAAATCCAAAAGCGCTTGAAATGAAGACTCAAAATGGAGCTCATGGTGGTAGCATTTTGCAGCTGGGATTCACGAATATGAGTGGTGGACAAGTCAAGTTCTGCTTAAGGTATGTGTTCTTGTCCCCTTTGGAGTGTCAACCATGTCCCACTTGTTTTGTCTTAATTGTTGTGTGTATTAGTTCTGAACCGTTGTACTTTTCACGTGTGGTCCACCATATTATATTATTGTTTAATTATCTTAATTTAATGTTATGGTCCACCGTGTCTAATGTGTGTTTGATTATGGTCTCAATGAAATTTAACTTATTTCATATGTATTTGATTAACTCTCAGACCAAGTCAGACTACTAAAGTTAGGTTAAGAATTCATTATAGAGGGGATTAGTGACCGAACATGTTAAGTGGCATGTTAATGGAGAGGTAACTGATATGGATTGAAAGTGGGATGTTAATTTCATGTCATACATGGATTTTGGAGGGATTAATTAAAAGTTAGAGTTATGTAGACATTAAGAGTCTGTGGTATTGGAATCATATATTCAACTTCTTAGGCCATTAAATAATGATAAGGATGTGCTCCAGTTTGCCAAAGATGTTGTAGGATGCAATGTGATAGATATTTATGTGTAGCACAAAGTATTTGAAGCCTCTGTGATTGTGGATCCAAGTGAATTAGATAATAACATTGATGATGATGATGATGATGATGTCCAATGTACTAGTTTTAGCGAGCCTAACGTTGAAGTTGATAATGAACAAGCTGGTGTTAGTGATCCCAATGTTGAAGTTAATAATGAACAACATTGTCTGATATATCGGTTTGTATGAAGCATAACATTTTTTGATATATTGGTTTGTATGAAGCATAACATTGTCTGATATATTAGTCTTTGATTATTTCAGGAAGCTAACATTTATAAAGACTTACTCAAATATTATATTTCCCATAAATGGACCATAATTGTGGCATATGGTTGATCATGTGCCAATTTGTCTTCCTGTTATGAGAAGAGCAATTGGTTATTCAAAGAAGCTGAGAAACGAGGCGGGTGATGAGCCAAAGAGCCCTTGTGTACTGTCAATGAGACTTGCAACATTTGTAAGAAATACGGAGAAATGGGTCACAACAAGAGAAGTTATAAGGGTGAGAGAGCGGCTGATAGAGCAATACCAAAAGGAGGAAACAAGGCAAAGAAGGCAAAGAAGACAAGTGAAAATCAGTCTAAAATTGGACAGAGATCTCAAGCACCACAAGCTACCCAAGATTAGATGCATTAAGTAGTTCAAAACATTTTATATGTAATGAACCAGTGTTGTTTTTGTCTGTAATAATGCAGTGTCTGTTATGAACCACTTTGTTTTGATTGTAATATGGTCTGATGTGATCCACTTTCTTTTGATTGTAATATGGTCTGTTATGAACCACTTTGTTTTGATGTTAATCAATTGTTAAGAAGCACCCTATTAAAAACCACTTGGTTTTGATGTTAATCAACTATTAAGAAGCCCCTTGTTATGGTAATGTTGTGAGTAATGTCAAATGGTATTATAGTGGTAATTTTATGTTACTCAACTATAAACTGGTTATGTTTTGGTATCAGTATAAATGTCAAATGTTAAATGGTTATGTTGCTCAATTGTCAACTATCAAGTATCAAATATCAAGTATTAAACACCAAGTGTGAACCAAATGTAATTTCATTCAATAATCAACCAAAATTGTTACTTTTGTACCCCAAAATTTTCCATCTCTTTTCTCAAGACATTTCTCACAAGATCTCCAATGGCTCAAGTTTGCACAAGTGTTAACTAAGTCAAACTGCCTCCTAAACACTATTGCCTCAAATTAGGGTTTTGATTTTCACAAGGAAAATTGGACTTCTAATGTCTCAAATGACCTTCATAGATCATTATAGACCTCCAAGAATACTCATTCCAAGTTTCAAGTCTTGTATCATAAATTTGCTCAATCAATTGCTCATATGACTGAAAATCGGTTGTATTGGGTAAAAAGTCAATTGTGGTCAACCTACAGTCAAACTTCATGATTTTTGGCCAACATAAACATTGTAAGGTTCTATTCATCACTTGACCAAGTATTGACCACAATCCCTCAAGAAAAGCACTCAATTTACCAAAAGGGCATAATGGTTAAAATTAGGGTTTTGACTGTAATTGGCTGATCACTGATTTTTGACCTAATACATGATCCAATGGCTTGAAGAATAATCTCAAGGATTAAAATATAACATGTTGACCTAATCTCATGGCTCAAATCATCTTTCAAAATCAATGGACTGATAGTTGAATTTTGGGTTAACTAATAAAAAGTCAACTAATGCATAAAAAGTCAAACTTTGACTTTTTGATTAAGAGTTGTTTTCAAAGATCACAATTCATCAAGACATTCAAAAAATGAAGCTTGATCATCAAGAAATCAAGAAAGTCAAAAGTCAAACTTTTCAAGACATGGAAATTTTTCTAAGTGTTTTTGTACATGATAATTTCACTACTTCATGCCAATTTTTCACCAAGATGCTAGATGATTCAAAGGAAACTCTCAACATGAAAGTTGTAGATATTGATGATATCTACAAATTTGTATTAGAGGGATCATATCCAAAAAATGATTAGATTTTATAATCCCATGAAGTCATGCACTTTTTCTTAAACACTTAGTGAAATTTTGACCTAGTTTAGGTATATTTCTTGTCCCAACTTCTTGACCTTTTTCACATAGCTCCAATTTGATTTAGCAAAAATGGAAAACATGAAAGTTATAGAGGATGTTTCAAGCTTTATAAAATTTCCAAGAACTTGAAGAGATCATGCTTGAGAAAATATAATTGAAGAGAAGAAGTTGAGGTTTCATTCTTGATTTTTAGGTCATTTTGATTATGAACATTCAACCAAATCGCAAACCTATGTTGCATAATCTCACTTTGCAGGCTTCTAACTTGCATTTTACTCTATAATTAAATGTTTACACAACTGTTAGAGCTTTGATCCAAGCATTTAAGCCATTATCCAAGTGATTAATCCATTTTAGGAAGAAAGGTATCACTCCCATTTTGGAAAAGCAAGCTTTATTGCAAAAGTAAATGCATTGAGCCTTTAACTTATTTCTTCTACACAAGCTTCATTTATAAAGTCAGAAAAAGCATGCTTAAAGCCCTCAACTACTCTGTAAGTCCTTGTATTATACATTGGGACAATGTGTATCAAGCTTGCTTCAAAAACAAGCCAAAGAGCCATAACATGTGAACTTGTACTTCTGATCACCTAAAGCTCTCAAAACCTTTTCCTATAAATTGAAGCATTGTTTACAAGCCTATGACACGAATTAACAACCCCTTAAACTCTCCCAAACTCCCTCTAGCAAGAAATTACATACAAACTCCATTTTTGTGCAGATTCTAACCTTTAGCTTGTATCTTCCATTTCCATCATGCATTTTCCCTCAAAATAATTTCCAAATCTTCCTTACATCAAATACAATTCATCCATATCCTTGTTTCCCAACTGTAACACCATTTTCCTCATCTTCCATTTTCAAAAGCAATTGCTTGTAGGTTGACTTCTCCAGAACATTTCAGCCACTCTTAACTCAAGTTAAGCATTGCATTAGCTTCCTAGATGTCCAAGGAAGCTAACTAGATCATTGTAGCACCTTGAAGCAAGCTCAAACTCAAAACATGAATTCCATTTTCAAGGTGAGTTTTCTGACTTTTGAACTCTTCATATAGGCATCATTTGGTTTCCATTTTCCAAAGATAAAATATAGAAACCATAGCCCTTAAACTGACCATGTCCTTAAAATTCATTTATATTGCTTGAGTAGTGAGAATTTTGAGTTTGAAATTGCTGAAAAAGTTAGGTTAAATTTGGTACCAAACAAAATTCATGCTCATCTTTGATTTATAGCTTTAATTATTTATATGACTGAACTCGTGATGAAATTTGGAGTAAGTTTCATGTTTACATTTTTGCAAAT